ATGAAATAAGCCAATCACAAAAAGACAAATACTGTATGATTATACTTATATCAAGTAGCTAAGGTAGTCAAATTCATAGAAACAGAAAGTAGAATGGTGTTAACAGGGGTTTGGCAGGGGGAGGGAAATGGGGGGTTGTTATATAATGAGTATGGAGTTTTGGTTTTGCAAGATAAAATATTTTGGAATTTTGTTGCACTTAACAATGCATATATACTTAACACTACTGAAATGTATGCTTAAAAATGGTTAAGATGATCAGTTTTGCATTAAATGTAGTAAAACAATTAAAGTGCAGTAAAGCAATTTTTAAAAAATTTGTTACATCTCTCTACCAAGAATAACTGATCCAAAAATAAAATTACAATGATACCAATTACGATAGCAGCAACAGCTATAAAATATCTAAGAATTAGCTATGAAAAAGTAAATTTTCAAAACCATAATAAAGAGCAAACAAGATGATTTGAATAAATGAGGAAATACTCTCTGCTTTTTCATGGGATTAAAAACAACAACAACAACAACGCTCCTAAGTTGCTTTTTATTATTATTATTATTTTTTTGGCTGCGCCACGCGGCTAATAGGATATTAGTTCTCTGACTAGGGATTGAACCTGGGGCCCCGGGAAATGAGACTGCTGAGTCCTAACCACTGGACCACCAGGGAATTCCCTTAAGTTGCTTTTCAAAACTTGTATGTGCCATTAATTGGATTTTTCCCTTAACAGATCTGTGACCTTTGGAAGCATTTTCACATCATTTGTCTACATGCAGTACATATTTCATTCTTGTGAGTGTATTCCTTCATTAGCCAGATATTTACTGGGCACCTACCATGTGACAGACACTTTATACCTCAGCTTTCATGGAGTTTACATCCCTGTGAACAGAATACTGAACATCTTCCCATTTAAAACAAAACTAATCTAATTAAGAAATTATGAAACGTAAGGTAGATAGCTAGTGGGAAGCAGCCGCATAGCACAGGGATATCAGCTCGGTGCTTTGTGACCGCCTGGAGGGGTGGGATAGGGAGGGTGGGAGGGAGGGAGACGCAAGAGGGAAGAGATATGGGAACATATGTATAACTGATTCACTTTGTTATAAAGCAGAACTAACACACCATTGTAAAGCAATTATACCCCAATAAAGATGTTAAAAAAAAAAAAGAAATTATGATATTGAGCTGCTTGTAAATTTTGGAGATTAAAGGATTAATCTCCAAAATTTACAAGCAGCTCATGCAGCTCAATATCAAAAAAACAAAAAACCCAATCCAAAAATGGGCAGAAGACCTAAATAGACATTTCTCCAAAGAAGATATACAGATTGCCAACAAACACATGAAAGAATGCTCAACATCATTAATCATTAGAGAAATGCAAATAAAAACTACAATGAGATATCATCTCATACCAGCCAGGATGGCCATCATCAAAAAATCTAGAAACAATAAATGCTGGAGAGGGTGTGGAGAAAAGGGAACCCTCTTGCACTGTTGGTGGGAATGTAAATTGATACAGCCACTATGGAGAACAGTATGGAGGTTCCTTAAAAAATAAAAATAGAACTACCATATGACCCAGCAATCCCACTACTGGGCATATACCCTGAGAAAACCAGAATTCAAAAAAGAGTCATGTACCAAAATGTTCATTGCAGCTCTATTTACAATAGCCAGGACATGGAAGCAACCTAAGTGTCCATCTCCAGATGAATGGATAAAGAAGATGTGGCACATATATACAATGGAATATTACTCAGCCATAAAATGAAACGAAATTGAGTTATTTGTAGTGAGGTGGATGGACTTAGAGTCTGTCATACAGAGTGAAGTAAGTCAGAAAGAGAAAAAGAAATACCGTATGCTAACACATATATATGGAAAAAAAAAAAAGGTCATGAAGAACCTAGGGGCAAGATGGGAATAAAGATACAGACCTACTAGGGAATGGGCTTGAGGATATGGGGAGGGGGAAAGGTAAGCTGTGACAAAGTGAGAGAGTGGCATGGACATATATACACTACCAAACATAAAATAGCTAGCTAGTGGGAAGCAGCCGCATAGCACAGGGAGATCAGCTCGGTGCTTTGTGACCACCTAGAGGGGTGGGATAGGGAGGGTGGGAGGGAGGGAGACGCAAGAGGGAAGAGATATGGGAACATATGTATATGTATAACTGACTCACTTTGTTATAAAGCAGAAACTAACACACCATTGTAAAGCAGTTATACTCCAATAAAGATGTTAAAAAAAAAAGAAATTATGGGTAGCAAAATGCATTTATAGATTGACAATTCTCAGTGAGTTGCCTTTTCTTCCTCTAGCCCTTTTTCTCAGAGCTTAAACTTCTGGAGGATTCCTGGCTTCATGAGATGAATATAATCAAGATGAATATCATTAACGTAATATTTTTAAAAATCAAAGCTAAAGCCAAAATTTCATGACAAACAAAATATCAAAAATTTAAAGACAGGATGCTGCACTGCAATGCCATGCCACCAAGTCTGAGGCAAAAGGCAAAAATGTATGTCCCTATATAAATGCTTTTGTGTATTTTTTAATAATTATTTTTTCACAAACATTAAAGTATTTGAAGAAATAATGAAATGTTGAAAAGTAGGTGTACTAAAACTCACGTCATTTTAGTTTAAATATTTTATTTATACCCAAGCCAGAATTGACTATAATTTTACTTTCCTGATTTTAATGGAATCCAATCCAATTTTTAATAGCTTTAAAAATTGACTTTTGGGAAAAACTAACCATTAAAAAATACACAAAAGCATGTATATAGGAGGGCACATTTTAAAATTTTGCTTTAGGTTCCAATATACGTTTTCAAGGAATTGATAAAGATGTAGTTAGTTCAACCTGCTTTACACAGTGCATGGAAAGCCTTAGAATCGAACACAGAACTTTGGCTAACTGGTTCATTCAATCAGGTAAAACAAAATATTTAGAAAGGTTTCCTTTTTACACTTTTAGGCTAATTATTCCAGATATTGCCTCAGTGCTTGCTTTGGCTTGGTGTCTGATATTTGTACTCATAAGAACAAAGATAAAAGAACTTCATGAGGCTTAACATGGAATCCTTTCTATCAGATACATTTAAAACATATATTTGGAAACATTTAAAGTCTACTGTGAACAGAATTACCAGGAATTTGGGACAGAAGTGACAATGAGAATCTGCTTTAAAGAAATGGATCATACTCAATTATAGAGCTCTGCCTTATTAGTTGAAAATTGGAAGTAGCTTCCCTGTTATTTTCTATTATGATGTGTTTTTTATATTATTTTAATTTCCTGTTTAAGAAATTTGTGGGACTTCCCTGGTGGGCCATCTTGCAACGCAGGGGACACCGATTTGATCCCTGGTCAAGGAATTAAGATCGCACATGCCGTGGGACAACTAAGCCCATATGCCGCAACTATTGAGCCCATGCGCTCTGGAGCCCGTGCGCCGCAATGAAAGATCCCGCGTGCCGCAACTAAGACCTGATGCAGCCAATTAATTAATTAGATTTAATTAAATAAAACCTGATCTTTTTTTTTTTTTTTCCCGGTACGCGGGCCTCTCACCACTGCAGCCTCTCCCGTTGCGGAGCACAGGCTCCGGACGCGCAGGCTCAGCAGCCATGGCTCACGGGCCCAGCCGCTCCGCGGCACGTGGGATCTTCCTGGACCAGGGCACGAACCCGCGTCCCCTGCATCGGCAGGCGGACTCCCAACCACTGCGCCACCAGGGAAGCCCCATAAAACCTGATCTTTAAGAAAAAAGAAATTTGCAGTCTTCCAAAAATGAAAGTGAGAGTGCCACAAATGTACATGAGCTCCAAATCAATTTTAAATTAGCACATGAAGAGAATTTTGACCACTTTTGGTTTGGAGTGGAATGTAGAATTAAACATGCACCCAGATTTCATACCATGGATATGCCAAAAGTTATTTTGAAATCCCTCTTGGCGAAAATTATATTCCACTATGATTCAGAGTTGCATCATAACAAGAGTTTGTTTAAAGACTGGGGTTTGAGAAATGTAACATTTGTATTTTCCTTGAAAAAATATGAGAGATCAAATGCTTTGCTGCTAGAGCTTTTTATAAATTACTCAGATTGCGTGCAGTTGGTTCAAGCTTTAAGTAGCTAGCTCTTAAAGATAGTCTGCTAAGTGGTGGGAAGAGAAAAGCAGAGGGAGTGTTTTTAAAAGCATCTACGTGCAAGTAAGCAGGGCAGTGCACTGGTACTAGGTTATCATGTTCTACAGAACAGTAATACACATTGAGAAGTGCTAGACTTATGATAACTAGACTTATCATGGTGATCGTTTTTAAATGTATAGAAATATCGAATCACTATGTTGTGTACTGGGAACTAACATAGTGTTGTAGGTCGATTATACTTTAAAAACAAACAAAAAAAACCTCATAGAAAAAGAGATCAGATTTGTGGTTACCAGAGGCAGGGGGTGGAGAGAAGGGGATTTGGATGAAGGTGATCAAAAGGTACAAACTTCCAGTTGTAAGATAAATAAGTACTGAGAATGTACAACAGGATCAACATAACTGACACTACTCTACATTATATATGAAAGTTGAGTAAATCAGCTAAGAGGTCTCATCTTATCTTTAATTTTATATCTATATGAGATGATAGATGTTCACTAAAAGAAAAAGAAAGAATGAATTTCAATGTCTCCTGGAAAGTAAAAAAAAAGAAGTGTTAGACTTGACCTGGGGGCCGGGCTGGGGGTGGTGGTGGGTAGCTCGGAAGGCTTATCCAAGGAGGGGATGATTGAGTTATGTTTGAACCTAAAGGATGACTCTCAGTGGGAAAGGAGAGCAGGTGCAGAGACAAAAGCATGGAGGTGGGGAGAGCAGACTGGGTTCTTGAAACTAAATATAAAATTTGGCTTCTAAGAGAGATATGGTAGGGGAGGAAGCAGTAGGACGGAAATACTGAGCTGGGCCCACACCCTCTTTATCCACACAGACTAATGTCTCCTGAGAGCGAATGAGTCATAGAACCTGAAGGAGCAACTGCAGTTCTTCTGAAATACCCAGAGAGAGGCAACGACAGACCATGGGCAGGCAAGTGAGAGGGGCATGAGCTCTCTGGGAAAGTGGAGATAAACCCTCAACAAGTAGGATGGACATTGAAAGGAGGGGAGAAAATTCACCATCAGGTGCCACCAGGCCTGGGTACTTGGAGGGATGGCCTTAAAAAGTATTTTAATAAAAAAGAGGTTTTTGAGGTGTCAATGCCAAATTGTTCTCTCTTGAAACCTAACAGTATCACTCTTTCCTCTCAAAATGTTCGCGTTTTCATAGCATCGAACAAACAACTGAGATCCTGTTGTGTCTCTCACCTGCTGAAGTTGCCAATCTCAAGGAAGGGATCAATTTTGTTCGAAATAAGAGCACTGGCAAAGATTACATCTTATATAAAAGTAAGAGCCACCTGCGAGCATGCAAGAATATGTGCAAGCACCAAGGAGGCCTGTTCATAAAAGACATCGAGGATTTAGACGGAAGGTAACACGCGTCCTCTGCTTTCTCCCTGGTGACCTTCTTACAATTAGATGTGGCAGGAGATGTGTTCATTGAAAATCAAATGAACCAACTGACAAATTATTTCTTTTAGCAAATTCATAACTTTTACTTGTGCTCACTGAGGCAACTCTCTGATCTCAAAACGTTATGACCTGTACTTAATTTCCCACTCTCTCTTAAGAACTCTAATTGAAAATCGATTCCTAGCTTGATTAACAGTGAAATTTCTAAGGTACGTGTGTGTGTGTGTGTGTGTGTGTGTGTGTGAGTGAGTGCTTGGGTGTATGTAACAGCTTTTATTTTCCAGGACTCAAGCCTCCTCTGGGTTTCCTTTCCCACTCCCCCAGAAGTATGAGTGGGGCAGGCCCTTATCCAAACACTGCTGGAGAGCAGATAGACTTGCTTTGACTGCCTCATGGTGATTAAAAACCCAAAATGGCAGAGCCGCAACTGTATCTGCCCTGAACAGCAGCTCTTCTAATCATTTCTTGGAAGAACTAGTGCTGGTACCCGTCTCCCCCCACTTGATGAAGCCTACAATATAGATCGCCTTCCTCACCAGTTCAGGAGCAATACCAGGACAGGATGGTTGTGGGTTTTGTTCGTTTGTTTGTTTTCAGTGACTGCCAAAGAGATAGCAGCACTGCCTGGCAGAGACAGGGGGAGTTCTGGGTGAGGGATGCTTTGTCAGCCTGATGGTCAACACCGGCAACGAATGAGTGGTTGACCGCACCTTTCCAAGCTCTGCTTCAGCCTAACTTGACCTGGGTGCTTTTTAGCCATTCCCACGTCCGGCTTGACATCCACCGTGTTGTTGAGCTGATTTCTCGGGTCATCTGTGGGCAGTTTAGTGTAGGTGGACTCAGAGGGAGCTGTGTAGTTTTCTAAGAGCTCCCTGCTATAATCGTATAGAAGACCATCGCCCAAGTCTAGAATGTTCTTACACCTGCACACAGATTTGCTTCACTGCATACTTAGTTTCAGGGCCCAGACACACACTATTAGATTTCTAAATGTTGATAAACACTGTTGCACCTGTAGCTTGTTTGGCTCCTTCGATGGGGTTGCTAGATTAGGCAAATAGAAGGCACCCAGTTAAATAACTAATATATTTTTAGCATAGATAGCTTGCAAGTATTGCATGGGACACAGTTTTAGCGACAGCTGTACTCTAGGAGCGCCTCATGGTTATTTGCTGACAGCCCTGTTTGGAGTCCCTTCCATCTTCTCAGTGGATTCAAGTCAGGGAAACCTCAGACATGGCTTGTTCTGTCACTGGTAAGTTTCTGCAGGCACTCTTGGACCCTGAGGTTTTCTGACTGTTGCGGTTTGGGGACTCCGCGTTTCCTCTCTCCCTTTCTCTCCTTAGTGGGCTTTTCACGTGGTGCTCGCTGAGCCAGCCGTTCAAGGAAGTGTTGCAGCTTTGTGATTAGGAGCAATGATCTTTCCTCACAACCTGCCCTGTTCAGAAGCCTGCCCCCACCACCTATCAGCTCCGTGACCTTGGACAAGTTTCTTAGCCTTTCCGGACCTCAATCCTCTCCTCTATACAGTGAAATTGAGAGTATTACCTACTCTGTCTGACTGCTGAGAGGATTAAGTGATTTCAAACACATAAAGCACTTAAAACAGTGTCTGGCTATATGATAAGTGCTCAATAAATGTCAATTACATTTATCGTTATTACTCTGTCATGAGCTTCTAGTGTAGCTTAGGAACAGAGGTTATTTACAGGAATTCAGATTGTTCTTGAACCTGGCTGGCTCATCTTAACAGAGTGATTGCTTTGCCACAGGCTGGCCTTTCTCTCCTTCACCCAAAGCCTTGGGGGTGATTGATCCTAGTTTCACCGTATTCTGTTGGCAGGCTAACCTAGAGCTGGAATTGTCTTAGTGCTCCGGCACACGAGGAACCAGCTTTATCTCCTGCACATTCTCCCAGCTTTATTCCCAGATGCAGCTCGCCAAGCATTGATGTGCTGAAACACCATCCTCAGAGGAACTCACACCCTATACTCCCCCATCCATCGCTCCAAATTTGACTGCTTCTCTGTGTAGCAATTCACCCGAGGAATCTCTCACCTAGGAGACAGTCAAGAGTAATGACCTACCTCTACCACCCTCTCTACATTTTTCTTCTTCACACGTAACCAACATCAGCAACTCTCATAAGCTGTGGTTCTCATTTTCTAAATCTAACAACTTTTCCCAACCTCTTTGCACATGAAGCTGTCGCCTCCCTCCTGTCTACTTGCTGCCTATGAACAGTTAAGATCCTGCCACGTTTCCCCTTTAATGACCCAGCATGTTGAATAGCTGCGTTTGGAATGTTCTCAAGTTTTGAAATGTTGTTGGCTACTCATTGATGAGAAAGTAGATGTTTCAGAATAATCCTCTATAAATTGAAGTGCGGAATATGTTTTTTGCCTTATTACTAGAAAAGAGCGTGAAAAATTCTTGATACAATGAAGCTTGGGAAAATCAGTGTAATTTACTGATATATAAGTTAAAATAGACATTGTTAGATTAAAAAATCTGATGTTTCCGGTTTGAGACATACTTGTTTGTAAAAAAAAAATTCTTTAACTGTGAAAAAAAAAAAAAAACTTCACGAGAAACACTACCAAAATAGAGAGGAAATGGAACTTCTTTGCCTCACCTTCCACCACCACAACCCCCTTCACGGTCTGGTAAGAAATAGGAAAAAAATTACTAAGCCTTCTATTTTGCTGCAATCTGATTCTCATTCTGAAACAGGGTTGCTAGAGTTAGCAAGTAAAAATGCAGAACACTCAGTTAAATTGCTGATAAATGACGACTTTCCAGTATATGTCACATATTGTGTGAGTTGTGTTTTTAAATTATTTCTTATTTATCTGAAATTCATATTTAACTGGGCATCCTGTATTTTATCTGGCAACCATGCTCTGAAATCTTAAACTTTAAGGAAGTCTTTTCTCTTCTGAAAACTTGAGTTGAACTTAGGTTTAGCACACTATACTAGGGGCTAAGGGTTGTAAAGTGATTATAAATCATAGGTATGTCTTAATGACTGCATTCTTTCCTCATATTGGCCCCAGTTGAACCTTAACCAACTTAGCTTTTGTATGACAGCCATCCCTAAAGATGACTTTATTCTGATGGCTCTGTTGATCTCTAACACATATTATTTTGTGACATGGCATTTATCTTCACTTTTAAAATTGCCTACTGATGATTAATCTATATTTCCTTAGATAGTTGAGTATGAGCTATTAGTAGTTTTTCTTTCATGCATTTTATGTTCAACCAACTACAGTTGTTTATAATGCATTTAAGCCTAATAAGATGAATTTTTATTTTCGCCATTTCAGAAACCTAAGTATAATTTTTCATCCAGGTCTGTTAGATGCACAAAACACAACTGGAAGTTGGATGTGAGCACCATGAAGTATATCAATCCTCCAGGCAGCTTCTGTCAAGACGAACTGGGTAAATATAATCCATATCGATCAATGTTTTCTGCTATTATTATTATTGGGGTCCTTCTTGTCAACTTGTTTCCAATCTCACTTGAAGCTTTGAGTATATCCTGATTTTAAACTATGGACATTAGATCTTTTAAAAATAATTAACACTGAAAATTCTAAACAGGATTTCTCCAAAAGATCCCTTCATTCATTCATTTGTTCAGTAAGTATCTGATGAGAACTTACCAGGTGTAAACATTGTATTGGGTATTAAGAGATACAAAGATGGATAAGATAGAGTCAGTGTAAATTAGATGATATTAACATGAGGTGGTGGCAAAGACAAGCCTGTGAACAACTAAGATCAGGGATACTCTGACAGGTTTCTTTGGTACAGTGTACTATAGAATAGTGGCTCTGAATATTGTATCAGTGAAGACACACAAGATAGATATTCAAGTGCATGATCTTTTCAACAGTTATAATGAAACGCCACAGTTTCGGTTGGGAAATAAAGTCCTTCAAATTCCATGGCGCTTTCTGGCATAGGTAAGATGCTACAGTTTACATGTGATTCTCAGTATGCTGGCTCCACTTCTACTTTTTCCTTCCTCCTACTCAAGAAAGCAGGTAGAAATATGAGTAAGGAGGGCTTAATAATAGGAATAAATTTGTCTTTGACCTAAGTGATTAAAAGCGTGTTTTATCAGTAGAAAAAGTTACTTGGGAAGATTCTTAAAACTGCTCATGCACACTGTTTCAGAATGTCTGTTATAAGAATAAAAATATAGATTTGATCTAATTGGGGGAATCATAGAAAGCTTCATGCCAGAGATGGCATTTGTGTTGGGTTTTGAAAGATGGGCAGAATTTCATCAGGCAGAGAAGAGAAAGGAGGACATTTCTGGTAGAGGGGACAGCTTGGGCTGTTTTAGTTTATTTGGGGCCAAATGTGTAGTTTAGTTGGCTGGAGTACAGGGTATGTGTATCAGAGTAGTAGAACATAAGATTTCAAAGGTACATTGTAGGGAGGGCCTTGAATATAGTTGAAGAATCATGACCTAATCCAGAATGTTATTAAGTGTGTGTTAGGTGTAGTATTAGGCACTTTGTGTGAATTATTTCACATTATCTTCACATTGACAATGCAGTAATGGGACTCAGTAATGGAGAGTCATTACCACCAAATTGTTCAACCCATCTGCCTCTGTGCCTGCATATTCTTCCTTGACTCCTGTGACAGTTGACAGTGGCTGCACTGACCCTGCTCCTATGGCTCGCCCTGCTCTCGCACCCTGGATCCCACCTCACACCTACTTGAGGCCTTCCCTCCTGCAGCTGTCCTTCTCTCTCCTGTATCATAAATTTCGTCTTTGCCTATTAACCCACATGTACACACACACACGTGCGCACGCGCCCTAGTGTTCAGATAAGCCCTCTTATGTTTCCATTTCTCCAAATGTCTAAACAGCTAAACCCCTTGAAACAGGCATCTCACACTCGTTGTCTCTGTTCCTTCCCCTCCCATCGTCTCTCAGTGGAGCTTCCATCCCTACCACTCCGCTAACACTGCTCCTGTCAAGGTCACCAGTTTGCTAAATTCAGTGGTCGCTTTGCCATGGCCATTGTACTCAAACTCTCGGCATGCAGCCCAATGGCCCACTCTGTCCTTAATATGCAGCTGACCCTTGAACAATGCGGTTTGAACTGCATGGATATTTTCCAATAGTAAATACTATAGGACTACACCAGCCAAGGTTGGTTGAATCTGTGGCTGCAGAGGAACCGTGGTTAAGAAGGGCCAACTATTGAGTTCTACATGAATTGACATATATATATATATTTTAATTCGGTTGCACTGGGTCTTAGTTGTGGCATGTGTGCTCCTTAGTTGTGGCAGGTGAGCTCCTTAGTTGCGGCATGTGAGCTCTTAGTTGAAGCATGCATGTGGGATCTAGTTCCCTGACCAGGGATCGAACCCAGGCCCCCTGCATTGGGAGCATGGAATCTTAACCACTGCGCCACCAGGGAAGTCCCATGAATTGATTTCTAATAGGCATTACAAGCTGCGGCCAAAACAGAACTCCTAATGGCCAAGCCCACCTTATCCCCAGACCTGTTCCTCCTCCAGCCTTCTCCATCTTGGTAAATGACGCTGCTTCCACTCAACTGAACAAAACCTGGTGGTCACTCTTGAGTCTTCTCTTTCCTTAAACCCCCATATCCAAACCATTAATAAATCCTGTGCCAAAACACCTTCAGAATCCATCCACTTCTCTCTGTCTGCTCTGTCTCCAACCAAATGCAAGTCAGACACCTTTTGTCTGCACAGCTGGCCTCCCTGCTTCCATGCTTGCTTCCTGCAGTCCATCCTGCTTACAGCACACAGCTTGATATTTTATTTTATTTTTGTTAATTTAATTTTATTTTATATTGGAGAATAGTTGATTTACAATGTTGTGTTAGGTTCAGGCTGGTTAGTACCAGACTGATATTTTAAAAATTCATGTCATTCCCCTGCTTAAAACTCTCCGATGAGCTTCCTATCACACTGAAGAAGGTGCATCCCTTTGACCCGGCAATTCCACATCCGAGACCATATGCCTAAGATCTTAATAATCACTGATATGTCAAAAGATACGGCTATGAGAATGTTCATTCACAGCAATACTATCTACAAAAGAGAAAAACTGAAAACAATTTAAACACTAGAAATAATTCCACTGTGTCTTAAAAGTGATACTATTGAAGAAACTAAAATAATAAGAGGGACTTTTGATAAATAAAGCAGATTATAAATATTACATATAGTATGGCCCTATTATGAAAAAACATGTATACATAAGCACTTATGGACGGGGGCAGGCTCACCACTGGTTACCTGTGAAGGGAGCTGAATAGTGGGCTTCCTGGGCTGGACCTCCAGTCTGGGAACTTTGATTACACTACCTCTACATCTTTTTCAGGCTCAAATTATTGTATATGGAATAGGCTATCAGGGCCAGTGTTGCCCACGTGTCTCGGTGAGACCAACTCCTAATCACTTTTTAAAGAAGGGTCTGACCTGCAAAGGCATTCTCCCAGTTCCCAGAGCAGAGGTGTCACTTACTGAGGTGCATGTCCTTTTCTGGTCACCCCCCAAAAGAGATAGAATGCTATTCTGGGGGAAGTTGCTGATTGCTTTGACTACAAGTTCATCCTCCCCCTGCCCCTCAAAGGGATGTCTCGGTTACTAGGTTCTTTTGCCAGTAACCCTCATTCCATGTCTGTTGACCTAGCCTAGGAAACCTGCAGACTGCATTGTTAGCAGGAACTGTACAAATACTGTTAAATTTATTTGGCAGAAAACAGGTAAGAAGCAAAGGTTTGGACATATCAAACTGTTTGTGTAAGTGAAAGGACAATAGACTATCAACTTTATGAGTATGTAACCCAGAAATCGATAGCTGCTTAGGGGCCTTTATAAAACCTCTAAGTCTTTTGGACAAGACCTATAGTGAGACATTATAGCAAAGTGGTTAAGAGCGAATGGTGCAGGGCAGTCTGGGCTCAGATCCTGATGCTCAAACACACAATTAAATGACTTGGGGCAAGTTAGTCAATCTCTTTGTTCTTTAGTTTCCTCACTAGGATATAATATTGGTAGTAGCTATCTTATTGCGTTGTTGAAAGAATTTTCAAAGTGAACAGCTGTGGGCTTCCCTGGTGGCGCAGTGGTTGAGAGTCCGCCTGCCGATGCAGGGGACACGGGTTCGTGCCCCGGTCCGGGAGGAGCCTGTGCTCCGCAACGGGAGAGGCCACAACAGTGAGAGGCCCGCGTACGGTAAAAAAAAAAAAAAAAAAAAAAAACAGCTGTTAAATTCTCAGAACTTGGTACACAGAGCATAATGTTTTATTTGTATATGTATGTCTCAAATAATCTGCACATCACCCCTGTAACTGAGACCTTAGGAGCAGGAGGAAGGGATTTCCCACCCAGCAGAAAATTGGATCAATTGGAAAATAGATCGAGGCTGGGAACTGATGCAGAGGGCTGATGTTTGCTGCTATGGCAGGTGAAAGGCAGGGCTAGAGGTGGCAGCAGGGTCAGTGGAGGGTGAAAATAACAAGACCACTAAATTTTTTAGCCTTTGCTCCAGTGAGGAAAGTGGAAAATTGAGAAAGTGGAAAATTTCCACTCTCTGTGAGAGTGGAAAATTTCCACTCTCTGTGAGAGTGGAAAATTTTGTTAACAGAGCCCACTTTTCAGTCCAGTGCTACCTACACTGTAGTGATTTCCTACCACATCCCAAGAAAGAGAAGGATGGCTTGAGCTCGTATGAACTTAGATTATTTGATTTTATTATTATTATAAATAACAATATACGGTCATCATTAAAAAGGTAAAAATCAGGAAAGTAGAAGGAAGAAGACGCTCACTTGCACTCCCATCACCTCAAGACAACACCTGTTTTGGTATCTTTTCTTCCGGTCGTCACCGAGGTCCCCTTCCTTCCTCTCCCCAGCCTTCTCCTCCTCCTTCTCTTAACTGAGATATAATTCATGTACCATAAAATTCACCTTCTTAGAGTGTGCAACTCAATGGTTTTTAGTATTTTCACATGTTGTGCCATTACCACCACTATCTAATTCCAGAACATTCTCATCATCCCGAAAAGAAACCTTGTAACTATTAGCAGTCAGTCCCATTCCCCTCTTCCCTCATCCCCTGGCCAACCACTAATCTACTTTCTGTCGCTATGGCTTTTCCTGTATTGAACCAGGCTGGCATAAACCCCACTTGGTCATGGTCATAATTATTTTTTATATTGCTAAATTGTATTTGCTAATATTTGGTTAAGGATTTTTATGTCTATATTCATAAGGAATACTGGTCTGTAGTTTTTTGTGTGTGATGTCTTTGTCTGATTTTGGGATCAGGGTAGTAATACTGCCCTCATAAAATGAGTTAGGAAGTGTTCCATCCTCTTCTGTTTATTGGAAGAATTTGTGAAGTTTGGTATGGATTCTTCTTTAGACATT